TGGTCAAGATGACGATGGTGATGACAATACAGATAATGCCAACATCAGAGATGGTGACAATGATGATGGTTAACACTCTAGATAATGACAAAAGGTCATCTGTACTGAGTGCTGGAGGAGACTGAAGCGCTTGAGAAATATTAACTCATGAAGATAGAACTACTGATCTCTACTTATCCAGAACAAAAGAGAAAGAAGGAAACCAAAGTCTCCAAGACCAAGAACCTCATCTACCGTTAGGCCAGAACTAGATGGTGCCCAGCGATCGCTCCCAACCACTCTGACCAGGGACACAAGAGATGGTCCCAGATAGAATGGGAGAAAAAGAACAAAACTCAGAAACCTAAAAAAAGGTCAGACTTCCTGAACCAGTTAAGCATGAGAGGAACCGATGAAGCCACTGCCCTGAGATCCCTGAACTAAAGCCACTTCGGAAGGTTACTTTTAAGCTAAATAAGATTGGCTCATGAAATAAACAATATCATCTACATATACTGGTCTCCTTTTTTAAAAAAACCTCTATGTGAGACCAGTCAACAGTTACCCTAAAGTACAGACGAGAAAGTAAGGGGTTTGGGGCAGGGAAGTTAGATTAGTGGAAATGGAACAAGTCAGGTGGAAATAATGAGAATGCTGCCATGGTGTGAACGATGTTACCATCCTGAACAATATGTATAGAAATTGTTGAAAGGGAGCCTAATTTGCTGTGTCAACTTTCACCAAAGATACAATTAAATATTATTTTAAAAATAAATGAAAAGGAATAAAGAACAGTCAGGTTTTTTTTAGATGACATAATTGTACACATTATACAATGTAAAATTGGTGTTAAGTGCTGTCGAGTCAGTTTCGACTCCTAGCGATCCAGTACAGAGTTTCCAAGGAGCAGCTCATAAGTTTGAAATCTAAACTAGCTACACATAAATTATCATAGTAATTGAGTTGAGCAAGGTAGCCAGAGACAACGTATGGTAAGCACAATTTTAAAGATAAACTTCTGTGAGGGAATTTTTGGATAGTGCTATCCTGGATTTTCTAGGTAGGACTAATATAATAATTAGTTGTTGTTAAGTGCCACTGAGTCAGTTCAGACACAGTGACCCTGTCTAGTATTTCCAAGGACCAGCTGGTAGGTTTGAACCACTTGACCATATGGTTAGCAATCTAGTGTTTATCTCACAGTGCCACACCTAGACTCCAGTATGAGCCTTTAAAAATAGAAGAGAAAGAAAAGTAAATCAGAAATAGGTGACAGAAGAAGAAGAAAATAAATGACTTAAAAGGAGAAGTCAGAGAACTGTGAAGCATAAGAAGGCTTTGACCTGACATGTCTAGCTTGAAAATGGAAGTAGGGGTCCACACACCAAGGCAGCTGACCAGTACAAGCTGAGAATGAACACCAGACGAAGGCTAGTTTAAAAAACCAGACTTCAGTTCTACAGCACCGTGAATATCTCTAATAACCTGAAATTTCTTGGGAAAGAATTTATTTCAGAGCCTCTAGAAAGAGGTCCAACCCAACTCAGCCTCTAAATTTTTGAGTGACAAAAATGTGATAAGTGGGTGTTTTTGTTTTGTAAATATATGTACTCATGTATATACAAGGGGGGCTTCAAAAAGCAGGTGGAACATGGAATGAAAAGATAATGGATTTTCTCAAGAACTTTCTGAAGTCCCCCATTATATACATGTGGGAGGTGGGGAGATGTGCACATACACACACATATTACTCATTTTGTATACGTGTATATATATACTTGGAGTACTGCAAAATCAGTCTGAACCACAAGGTAGGCAGTTCAAGCTTACCATCCACTCCTCGGAAACTCTATACAGGGTCACTATGGGTCAGAACTGACTCAACAGCACACGCATAACAACATACATACATATACTCATTTTGTAAATATATATATATATATATTTATACACACACACACACATAAGGGTGCTTAAAAAAGTTGGTGAAAAAATGGAATTTAAAAATAATGGAATTTTCCTATGAACTTTCTGAAGCCCCTTATATATGCACACACATACACACATATACATAGATATACTCATTTTGCAAATACATATATATATATATACTTGTGTATACATACACACAAGGATGCTTCAAAAAGTTAGTGGAAAAATGGAATTAAACAATAATGGACTTTTTCTAAGAACATTCTGAAATCCCCTCATATAATATGTGCATTATATAACTTATTTTATATGTGTGTATGGGTATGTGTGTGTATATATATGTTGTTAAATGCTACTGAGTCGGTTTCAACTCAAAGCGACCTAGTATAGGCTGGTGGAGTTGAATCGCCGACATAGTGGTTAGCGGTCCAGTGCTTATCCTACAGCACTACACACAGTGGCTTTGTAGGATAAGAACTACATTGCAAACCATATAAGGTCAGTGGTGTGAACCCACCAGTAGCTCCATGAGAGACTGATGCAGCTTCCTGCTCCCACAAAGTTTTGTAGTCTCAGAAACCCTGTACAGGGTCTCTATGAATCAGAAGTGCCTGGCACTTAACAACACACATACACATGAGGGGGCTTCAAAAAGTTCATGGAAAAAATAGAATGAAAAGATTGAACTTTTCCATGAAATTTTTAAAGTCCAGTTGTTTTATATATATATATATATGTTGTTGTTGTTAAGTGCCGTCGAGTCGGTTCCGACCCATAGCGACCCTGTACAGGGTTTCCG